TACAGAGTGAAGTAAGTCAGAAAGAGAAAAATAAATACCGTATGCTAACACATATATATATGGAAAAAAAAAAATTGGTTCTGAAGAACCTAGGGGCAGAACAGGAATAAAGATGCAGATGTAGAGAATGGACTTGAGGACACGGGGAGGGCGAAGGGTAAGCTGGGACGAAGTGAGAGAGTGGCATCGACATATATACACTACCAAATGTAAACTAGATAGCTAGTGGGAAGCAGCCACGTAGCACAGGGAGATCAGCTTGGTGCTTTGTGACCACCTAGAGGGGTGGGATAGGGAGAGTGGGGGGGGGACACAAGAGGGAGGTGATATGGGGATATATGTATATGTATAGCTGATTCACTTTGTTATAAAGCAGAAACTAACACACCATTATAAAGCAATTATACTTCAATAAAGATGTTAAAAAAAGAAAACAAACAGGACCAGTAGTGTCCTGAACAAGTTACATTATTTCCTGGGCCTCAGTTTTCTCATGAAAGGTAAGGATGCTTAGACATAATCATCTATTTTTAGAAGGCTCCTTAGAGACATTTTAGGGTTTCATATACCTTTCAAGCATGTAAAAACAATGACTGGGCTTCTCAAACAGTTTAAAATTTCATTGTTTGGCAGGGAATACTTGATTTTTCTATCCTGTCATTTATTATTTGTGTGACCCAGACAGATAAATTTACTCTGGGTTTTTATTTTTCCCTCTGTAAAATGGGAATAATAATAATATCTAATGCCATTGGATTATTATGAGACTCAAAAAGGTAATTCATGAGCTTGGTATGTAGTAAGCATTTAATAAATGTAGGTGTTACTATTATTGTTACTATTTTTACTGTTCTGAGACCAGTGCTTTTTCTGAACTTTTTTTTCAAATTCATGCTGAAGCACTTCAGTTTAGAAACCTTCATAAGATTATAAAATGTAGACAGATATTTTAAAATTGAAAAACGAATGTTTATCATTTCATAGAAGATACTCTAAGTGATGTTGGAACTTGTGTTTAACCTATACTCCTCTTCAAAGCCTAGAGGTGTATTTGAGAATAACATTATTGCTATTAAGCTCTTTGTAATTGGCACTGACATATTTGTCTTGAAGTGTTCATTCTCCCGTTCAGATTTGTCATTCTCTTTGGTTTATTCCTGAATCCAAACACCAATTTTCTTTATCCACATTTCCCATGAAACTTGCATGCCATTTGCTTATTTATACCATTAAAGCTGATCAAAAGATAGGGTAAAACCTTTTATAACATTTCACCAAATTATATTCTTCTAATA